AGGAGGGCCTAGACCCTACCCTGGATGACAGGACAGACTCTGGAGATCCACCATGGAGGGCCTCACCCTCCCTGGGGATCAGAGTGAGATGGGGTGGGGGCCTGGGGAGCCTGGTGGGGAGGGATGAGGAGGAGGGGAGGGAGAGGGAGCTGGGATTGACATTTGAAGCAAGCTTGATTCTAACTTAAATTTAAAAAAAAAAAGGAAGAGAAAAAAAAGAGGTGTGGACTTGATGGAGGTGGTGTGTCACTCGGAGCAGGATTGAAGTTTCAAATGTCCATCCATAATCAGTTGGCTCAATCTGCCTCATGCCTGGGGATTATTAGAGTTACGCTCGCAGCTACTGGTCCAGCTCTACGCCTACCCATCTGCCATGCTCCCACCATGCTGGTCACGGACTAACCCTCAGGAACCATCAGTCCCAAATTAAATGCTTTTTTAACAAGGTGCTTTGGTTGTGGTGTTTTATCACAGTGTGAGAAAAGCAACTAAGACAAGAGACATAGAAATACTTGTTCCTGGTCCTGTTTCCAGAGAACTGGGGTAACAACATGACCATTATGCCCTGCTCTTTGTGGACAGACGCCTCTGCATCTTCAATTACTCCAGGCTCATCCTCTCTCTCATCTTATGCCTTTGCATCAGCTGCTTCAAGCACAGGGGTGGGACAGAGCCAGCAAGCAGCTTCATTGAAAGCTGGGTCTATTTCAGAAGGAAACTTTTTCATGCAGAAGGATTATTAGAATTAGAGTTCTCCCCTTAAATTGTTCAAGATAAAACACCCATTGCTTAAACATTGACGAAAGAGTCTCCCTGTGGCCTGACTCTGCAGCCCTTGCCTGCCCGCAAGGTACCACTTCCCCAAGCCTCCCAATCACAAAGATCCCACTGCCCATGGTGAACCCTCCTTTTCCTACCCTCTGCCCCCAACATACTGAGTCCTCTTGGCCCCTGGTTTGGATTTCAGCCAAGTAGGTCCTGCCTATTCTAAGAAGCACAGTTTGGAGCAGTTATTACAGTCTCTTTCCCAGCATCAGCCTGGCTTCCCCATTCACATTTCCCCATGGTCAGAAACGGGATCCAGACAAGATCTACCCACAGACACTGCTCCCAGGGTAAGACCTCCTGCTCCAGGATAAGATGGTCTACAAGCAAATCCAGAAACCACACTTTCTCCATCATCACTGGGCACACCCTGCCCTTGATGATGATGACCTCTGCGTCACCAGACAGGAGCTTTCGCTTCCTGCTTGCTCTGGTGAGAGGAGATGAAGGCGACAGAGCTGGATGCATTCTGTGTGGCTGGAGGAACATCCTGGGTTAAGTGTACTTACCCCGGCCATTCCTGCTTCCCTAGGCTGTAACAGACAGAGAGTGTGCCTCTAGAACACTCTTGGTATTTTCCAATTTCCAATGAGTCAGAAAACTCAGGGTTTCAGGGTCCAGCCTAAGACAGGGGTTCCTGACTCCCCCCATCATTAACTCTCCAATATTCTTTCATTCAGCTTTCTGTTAAAGCCCTGGTTTCCTCTATAACTGTACAACCCTGAACATAACCAAGCTCTACTCATCTCCAGTGCTAAGAAGGGCTGGGCTTGCTTAATACTTGGATGGGGTCATCCAAATCGCGAGTGGGTTTCTATTGTCTGGAAAGCATTCAGGCTGTGTATATTTGCACTGAACTGGCTATCAGAAGGCAGTGGCCCTATCAACCAAGTACTTAAGAGCATATAGGTTTGCTGTCCATCCCAAAACTGGAGTCCAGTGCTTGATTCAGGCATTTGCTCCATGATCTTGTTCTTACAACTTGACTTTCTGAGATTCTTGCTATCACTCGTAACACAAATTATTGCCTGTTTTAGTAGGCTGAGGTATGCTCCTGCACCAACATTTGAATTTGTGTCTTGAAAGGACAACTACTTCTAAACCCTTGATAGAAGTATGTTCCTTCTGTATCAGTAGTCCTTCACCATCCTAATGTTGCACCCTCATTTTTTGGTGATGCCCAACCATAAAATTATTTTGTTGCTATTTCACAACCAGAATTTTCACTGTTATGAATCATAAATATTTTAGATATAGAATATTTGATATGTGACCCCTGTGAAAGGTTCAATTGACACCACTTCCTAAGGTATCTCAACTCATAGGTTGAGAAACACTGTTCTATATATACAGAGGAAGAAGCTTCTAGAAGGATGCACATAGACTCTTAAGAGATGAAGAATATATGCTGCTAGTCTGTCACATTATTCAAACCAACCCTGGTGGTAGGTAGGATGATAGAAATCACAGCCAGATCACACTGGTGCCCAGGAATGGTAATATCTGCAAAGCCAGCCCCATTGTATCAGTGACTATTAGGGAAGGGGTGTTTGAGAGTATCACTATATAGCCCCAACTGTCCTAGAACTCCCTCTGTAGACCAGGCTGGCCTTGAACTCACAGACATCCTCCTGCCTCTGCCTCCCCTCCCAAGTGCTGGCATTAAAGGCGTGTGCCACCATGCCTGCCGTTCCCCTCAGACTTCTTCAGATCTGAGCCACTGCCAGACAGTGCCAGCCATTGCGGGACAGTCTTCCCCAGTTAGCTAATCCTTCTGGGAAACAACCCAACACTTCCTTCCTCCCAGATATGTGTCTCTTAGTTCATTACAGATCCAGTCAAGTTGGCAGCTGAGATCAGCCATCATAGAAGACACTCTTCCTGGGAGCCAGTATGTCTGTTGCTCCCAGGCTAACATTTCCACCAAATGGAGGAGGAAGGAGAACCATGAGATGTTTACTAGAGTAAAGACTCAAAGTAGTCTCAGGGAGAGTGGCCTGAATTGTGTGTCTCCATCCATACATGGGGGTCCTGGCTCTAAGACCCTTAGAAAACAAATTTGGACACAGGATTTTTGAGGGAGTCATTAGGACAAAGTATGTCATTGGACTGGCCCTGTGGTTGGTGTTTTTTGTGAAAAGAGGGAATTGGGACATAGCCTCTGTGGGATGGCCATGGGGTAGACACAGAGAAAACAACATATATGACAAAGGAGACAGTCCTCACAGGATACCGGCCTTGCCCACACCTAATTATCAGTTTTTGGCTGCTATAGAACTGTCGGAAAATAAAAATTAAGTTAGTCATTTTTGTCACTCAGTGTGTTGTGGCCCTGGGGCACCTGCCATGCTGTCCAGGTTCCTGTTTCAGGGTAGAAAATTAGACTAGGGACACATAATTAGAAATAAAGATAGTTTATTAAGAAATGGAAAGCACTCTTGGAGGTAGAGGTGGGATTAGAGAGCTCCGGGGACATGGCCCTTTTTAGGACATTTCCATAGCACCGAATCGTCCAGGTTTGTATATCACAGATATTTCTCACCTTTGCTGTGTCTTATTTATTCTAGCAGGCGACATTCTCCTTTAATATACTCTGATGTTTGTTCCTTTACGATAGACAGTGTCAATCCTATTTTTTCAAGTCCAGGCTTGAAGGGACTGAGACCTCCCCAACATTGTCTGTGTTTCAGTTTTTTTCTGAGGGTGTATTTAGCGGTACAATGCCCCCCAATAGATGGGTAGCACCATCACTTGAGCAGAACTTCCAGGCAGTAGGAGCAAGTGAAATTTATTCATTCTTGGAGGGCCAAAAGCAAAAAATGGGTAACATTGGATCTCAGCTGGCTTTCTCCTTCCCCTATTTTTATTTGACCCACACCTGCAGCTTATGGAGAGGGTGGCACCCACAGTCAGTGTGGATCTGCCCTTCAGGTCACTTTGAAAACACACTCAAGACACACCATGGCATGCCTCAATAGCATTCTAAGTGATTCTGAACCTAGTCCAGTTGACTACTAGGATACCCAGGAGAGTAGAGTTTCCGAGGGACCAGTGTCCCAGATCAACTCAGCATCACACAGGACAGGTCAGTATCCAGCTTCAGGGCTTGGTCACCCCTGCATGGTACCCTAAGGACTCTGAGCACCTTCCCTTTGCTTCCCTCTGGGCTGGAAGCAATCTCAATTCCCAAACCCCAGATATGGGGCAGTGTCTGGAGACATCATAGGTCCAGGGGACAGATGTCAGGGGTGGTTGCTGCTGTTCACCTGTGTGCTCATGTAGGATACCCCAAGATGATGCAGGATCTGTGACCCAAATGTCGTTAGTGCTCTCTTCAGGTAGCCTGCTCCAGGTAGTGACCCAGAGAGGGCCCTGGAATGTTCTTGAAGCCACCATACATCTCCCTATATGAAAAATTGTCCCAACACCCCCAGTGTTTCAGTCAGAATGAGGGTAAACATATCCAGACTCACACCCGCCTTCCTTCTCCCTGTGTTCCTGTCTCCACTGGTGTGAGCTGCTGCTCTGTTTTCTGTCCTCAGAGAATCCCCAGAGTCATTGTGAACTTGACACAGCTGGTTTGAAAACCTGGTCATGCAATACTGAGTGATGGACTTAGAGCATTATGTATGGTAAGTCAGCTTGTGTCCAACTGAGCTAAGGACACAGTCCCATAATGGTCTTTCTAGATTCACTCTGTAAAGTTACAGCTTCCATCTGCTGACAGTTTCTATTGTGAATTGTGTCATTGGGAGTGCCTTTCTTTCCTGTGGATCAGCTGAAGGAAGGACATGTTCACAGTACCCGGCCTCTGTCCCCTCTGTGCTGCTCGCTTGACACCTGGTGTCTTCATGTGCAAGGACACTTTCTCCCTCTGGCCTGTAGTGAATTAGTGTGGCTCCTGTGTTGACTCTGTCAGTCACTGACCACTCTCCCTCCCTCCATGTAAGCCACAGCTTCTTATCCTATGCCCAGCACAGCTTCACCCAGCTCCCACACAGCCTCCCTGTTAGACCTTCCCCAGGTACCCTGCTGCTGAAATGCACCAGGAACCATCCCCCAGTGAGGAAATGTCCTGAAGAGGTCACACAGTGCTCCTGTAATGTTTAGGGGGTCAACTTCCAGTTTATGCTTTAGAACCCAGATAAGGACAGACCAAGCCAGCACAGAACTTGAGTAAAAGCAGTAAGTTTAATTAGTTAAAAACAAGTTTGGGGTGGGATTAGGGTCAGCATCACTTCTGGGAGCCAAGTCCTGAGCACGTGGGAGAAGTGACCAGATGCTCCCTGTGCACATCCCATTGTGCCTTCAAGCTCGGAGCACAGCGCCCTCTGCCCAGCACCAGGTCAACTTCCAGCCAGCATTGGTAACTCAGAGATCCACATGGCATGGAGTCCCCATCCATACCTGCTCCACAGGCGCCTCCAGATCAGAATCACCTGAGGGGCATGCTGCACTGGGAGGCCAGGGGAGGGGTTCAAATGGACAAGAGGTCTTTAGAAGGACAATCTGTAAGATCAGCATCAGAGGCAGAAGGAGACAAGAAAGTCACAGCTGTACCCAGGAAGTGAGAAGGCTCAGGACACAGGCAGCCAGGCTCACAGGAGCAGATCATGTGAAGTTCAGGGCTGGGCCATGTAGGAGAGACTGGAAACTGGATACATGTGGAATACGGAGAGAAGTAGATGCATAAAATCTTCAGTGAGGGTGCAAGGGATATGGTCCTGAAGGGTTGCCACGACCTAGAGAGACCAAGGAAAGACTGCTTATTGAATTCCTGCGGAAATGGATGTTGGATCCAAAGGCTGTGCTCCAGCAAGTCCAGCTCCAGCCCTGCCCCTGGGCCAATCTCTCCTCAGAAAGGTGGGGTTGCTACCAAGCTGGGGGAGATGCCCAGGGTAGGTCCTCTTGGGCCAATACCACCCAGCACTCCAGTGTGATTAAACTGGAGAGACAAGGTCACTAGGTTCTAGTCCCATCACTGCTATTCCAGGCCTCTGTGGTCTCAGGATCTGCATTCTGATACCCAGAGTCTGTAACATGGAGCACTGGACACAGAAATTTTTCCAGGACTGAGGGTGATTCTGGGGGGTCAGCTCACAGCACTTATATCAAAGGAGAAGGGTGACAGGTGGCCACACAAGGAAAGCCCAGGGAGAGCCACCAGCACTGCCTCCCAATAAAGAGGGAAAGCCTTCTGGTGCCTGTCTTACCAGGTTGATTCTCCATCTCTAGGACCAGGTATCTTGTGGTGTCAACCTGCAGGAGAGGGAAAAGCCATCAGGATCCTGGGTGACACACATCTAGTCAGCTCTAAGACAATGACCATTCACACTTGAGGCAGCACAGAGGGGAAGGGGGCAGAAGGGGATCTGGGGTGAGGATTCTATATCCAGGGGGAAACATTATTTCCACAGCTGCCCCACTGGACACAGACAACCATAGGTGTGCATAGATACATTCACTCTCTCCATCTTGTCCCCCCTCTGTTGTGTTATTAACCTCCTCATGTAGATAGGTCCACAAAAATATTTAAGAACTCCCGAAACTGACCAGATGCACTACACCCCTTCCTGCCTGAGGAAGCAGCGCAAAGACTCACACAAGGAAAGCAACCCAGACAAGTAGAAACCAGCCAAGCTGCCTGGAAGGGGTTAGAACACTGAGGCACCTGGAAAGGACACTCTCCAACCTGCTGAGCTGCCAGCAGGCTGTGCAGTGTGCTCCAGGGTCCCAACTTATGTGAGCCTTCTGTCATCAGTGCTGGGTGGACTTTGGTGATGCAGCTGTCTTTGAGTCATTTCTGTTCCTGTAAGTGATCCCTCACCCTCACCATATTCCTGTAAGTGACCCCAATAAAACTCATTGCTTCACCCAGATGAACTCAGTAGTATCTGTACGTTGGTCTGTTGTGGGTTCCCTATCTTGAATGAAGAGATGAGTATGTTTTGTCTCATCAGGAAAAGTTTTGTCTCTCAAGAACTCTCACCAAAATGTCCACAAGAAAAGGCCTTGTTACAGCCCTTAAAGGAAGAGTGAATGAAGGAGAGGTAAGAATCTCCCTGGGGAGAGCTGTTGCTGTCCCTCATCAACTGCAGTGTCCAGGAGAGTGGCCTCTCTGCCACCCCTGGGCAACACAGAGCTGGCCCTCGTGCATTTGCAGATCTGACCCTGAGGAAATGAAACCAGGGCAACTGGCCCCGCCCCATGCTCGTCTGTGCAAGGGATGGACTAGCCAGGGCAATGCTGTAGGGCTCACTCTGGTGGTGAGGCCAAGGGAGAGCTGGCAAGCTGACCAACCCTGTCATTACCCAGGCCCAGATCCAGGCTTATGAGTTGGCCCTCCCCAGTATCCACTGTGTCTGTGATCTTCTGGAACACTTGAAGGGAGTGAACCTGCAGTTCTAAAGCTGCAGGATTTCCATGACCCAGGGCTACAGCAGGATAACCAAGTGGAGTCCAGTGAGGGCACAGCATGGACAGTGTAGCAGAAATCAGAGACCTGGAACCAGATGGATGACTCTCTGCAATGAACACTTGCAAGTAAAGATATATGGATAAGGAGGTTTACTGTGTGACACACTGTTTCACACTACGGCTTCCATGATGACACTGATTTTTCCTTACCCCCTCCTTTTATTCTTTTTTCTCTTAAATTTTATTTTATTTTGGGGGGAGGAGGTTCAATGGCATGAGATGTATAGGAAGGGACAGGGAAATGACAGGGATGGTGATGGGGATGCCCTTCTGTATATATGCTTCTCTTATTTGTTGATGAATAAAACACTGATTGGACAGGCAGTAATACAGGCAGGTCTAGGAGGCAAGGAGAAGGCTGGGGAGACAGGCCAGAGATGCCATGTAGCCGAGGAATGAGTAAAAGGTATGAACCCTTCTCTGGTAAGATAAGACCTCATGGAAATACTTAGATTAATAGAAAGGGGCTAATAATTAAGAGAGAGCTAGCCAATAAGAAGCCCAAGTCATCGGCCAACAATTTTATAATTAATATACCTACTGTCTGTGTGTTTATTTGGGGCTGAAGAGTGGTAGGACCTGACAGAGCGTAACTCCAACAACAAAATGGGTGCCAACAACACAGGGTACAAATTTACTGGCAAAAGCTTTAAAAGGGATTTTAAAAACAAAAGAACATAGGCAAGCACAACTTCTTGGTAGCAGCATTTTCTTGGGTGGGCTCTGTTTACTAGAAACAGGCAGAGATTCAAGGCTCCTTTAACGGAGGTTTCCTGACTCAGCACTAGCAGCAAAAAACAGCAGGGCTCTTTTAAGAGGCTCTGCTACCAAACAATTAAATGATGTGTATGAGCAGCTGGTGACTTCCATGACCATGTCCCCAAGATGTACTTGCTGAATGGCAGATTTAGCTTTTACTCATACAGACCAAAAAGGTTTAATACTTGAGGTGGTGAGTACAGCTGAAATAGATAAATAAAATAAACAAAATAAAAAAACACAGTCTGAAGAAATGCTGGAAATAGAAAAGCTGGGCAAACGGTCAGGTACTATAGATGCAAGCATAACCAACAGAATATAAGAGATGGAAGAGAGAATCTTGGGTGTTGAAGATACACTAAGGGAAATAGATTCATAGACCAAAGAAAATCTTAAGTCCAACAAATCCCTAACATAATATATCCAGGAAATATATGACACCATGAAAAGACCAAACCTAAGAATAATAGGTATAGAAGAAGGTGAAGAAAACCACCTCAAAGGGGCAGAAAACATATTCAACAAAATGATAGAAGAAAACTGTCCCAACCTAAAGAAAGACATGCCAATGAAGGTACAAGAAGCTTACATAACACCAAATAGAGTGGACCACAAAAAATCCCCTTGCCACATAATAATCAAGACCCCAAAATAGAGAATAAAGAAAGCTAAAGAAAAATGTCAAATAACATGCAAAGGCAAACCTCAGAATTATACCTGACTTCTCCATGGAAACTCTGAAAGCCAAAATGTCCTGGATAGATATTCTACCAACACCAAGAAACCACAGATGCCAGCCCAGACTGCTATACCCAGCAAAGCTTTCAATCACTATAGATGGAGAAAACAAGATATTCCATGACGAAACCAGATTTAAACAATATGTATCCACTAACCCAGCCCTACAGATAGTTCTGGGAGGAAAACTCCTACCCAAGGAAGTTAACTACAACCAGGAAAACATACACAATCGATAACCCCACTTTACCAACAACCAAAAGAAAAAAAGGGTGAAAATCCACACACAATTCCACCAACAACAACAACTCCAAAACAAACAAAAATAAGCAATCAATGGTCATTAATATCCCTCAGTATTAATGGTCTTAATCCCCCCCCCAAAACACAGGCTAACAGAATGGAATTGAAGACAGAATCCATCCTTCAGCGTCATACAAAAAACACATCTCAACTTCAAAGACAGACATAACCTCAGAGTTAAGGGTTGGGAAAAGATTTTCCAATCAAATAGACCCAAGAAATAAGTGGGGGTAGCAATCCTAATATATAACAATTTAGATTTTAAACTAAAATCAATCAAAAGAGATAAAGGAGGTCATCTCATACTCATCACAGGAGAAATCCACCAAGATGAAGTATCAATTCTCAACATCTATGCCCCAAATATAAAGGCATCCACGCTCCTAAAAGAAACATTACTGAACTCAAATCATACATCAAACCTCACACACTTGTAATGGGAGACTTCAACACACCACTCTCACTACTAGACAGGACCACCAGACAGAAACTTAACAAAGATGCAAAGGAACTAATATAAGTTATGACCCAATTGGGTTTAACAGATATCTATAGAACATTCCATCTAAACACAAAAGAACAAACCTTCTTCTCAGAGCCACATGGAACCTTCTCAAAAATCAACCACATACTCGGCAACATATCAAACCTCAACAGATACAAAAAAATTGGTATAGCCCCATGTACCTTATCAGACCACCATGCGTTTAAGTTAGAATTCAACAATGGCACAAATTGCAACACCCTACAAACTCATAGAAATTGAATAATGCACAATTGCACCATTCCTGGGTCAAAGAAGAAATAGAAAAAGAAATTAAAGACTTCCTAGAATTCAATGAGAATGAAGACACAGCATACCCAAACTTATGGGACAATTTGAAAGCAGTGATAAGAGGAAAGTTCATAGCACTAAGTGTCCACACGAAGAAACTGGAGAATAGTCACCCCAGAGAAATAACAGCACAACTGATAGCCCTAGAACACAAAAAAATCAAACTCACACAGGAGGAGTACACAGCAGGAAATAGTCATATTGAGGGCTCATACAGCCACTTTGGAAATCAGTATGGAGATTCCTCAGAAAAATGGGAATAAACCTACCACAACACCCAGTAATTCCACTCTTAGGCATATACCCAAAAGATGCACATTCATACAACAAGGATATCTGTTCCACTATGTTCATAGCAGCATTATTTGTAATAGCCAGAACCCAGAAGCAACGTAGATGCCCCTCAACTGAAGAGTGGATAGAGAAATGTGGTACATTTACACAATGGAGTCCTACTCAGCAGAAAAAAAAAACAATGGAATCTTGAAATTTGTAGGTAAATGGATGGCAGTAGAAGAAACCATCCTGAGTGAGGTAACCCAGTCACAGAAAGAGAAACATGGTATGTACTCATTCATTTATGGATTTTAGACATGAATCAAGGGAGTGCCAGAATACAATCCTATTGCCAGAGAGACTGGGAAACAAAACCTTCATCCAGTGACTGATGAAAGCAGAGGCAGATACCCACAGACAAACACCAAACTGAACTCCTGGAATCCAGTGACAGAAAGGGAAAAATGATGAGCAAAGGGGTTAAGACTGGGCAGGTTTAACCCACAGAAACAGTTGACCTGAACAAGGGAGAGCTCTTGGACCCCAGACTGATGGCTGAGTGGACAGCATGGAACTAACCCAGACCTCCTGAATGTGGGTGTCAGTGAGGAGGTCTAGGTAATCTATGCGGCCTTGGGTAGTATTTTATCCCTGGCATACAAATGGACTTTGGCTGCCCATCCCACAATGAGGGATGCTGTCTCAGCCTGGACTCTTTGGGGAGGGCCTAGGCCCTGCCCTGGATGAAATGACAGACTCTGGAGATCCTCCATGGAGGGCTTCACCCTCCCTGGGGATCGGAGTTGAGATTGGATGGGGTGGGCAGGGGAGGAGGGGAGGGAGAGGGAGCTGGGATTGACATGTGAAGCAAGCTTGTTTCTAACTTAAATTTTTAAAAAAAGAAGAACAAAGAAAGGAAGGAAGGAAGGAAAAAAGGAAGGAAGAAAGGGGTTTAGAGGAGGGGGGGAGGAGGACATGAGGGATCAGGAAGATTGAGTCAGGGAAAGAATAGAGGAGAGCAAGATAAGAGATGCCATAATAGAGGGATCCATTATAGGTTTAAAGAGATATCTGATACTAGGGATATGTCCAGAGATCTATAAGGTTGATACCAACTAACCATCTAAACAATAGTGGAGAGGCTACCTTAAATGTCCTTCCCCAATAATGAGATTGATGACTACCTTATATGCCATCCTAGAGCCTTCATCCAGTAGCTGATGGAAGCAGAAGCAGACACCCACAGCTAAACACTGAACTGAACTCCTGGAATCCAGTTGCAGAGAGGGAGGAGTGATGACAAAGGGGTCAAGACCAGGCTAGTGAAACCCACAGAAACAGCTGACCTGAACAAGAGGGAACACATGGACTCTAGACTGAGATCTGGGAAACCAGTATAGGACTGAACCAGCCCCTCTGAATGTGGGTGTCACTGAGGAGGCCTTGGCAATCTATGGGACCTCTACCTCTGGTAGTTGATCAGTATTTATCCCTTGCATACGAACGAACTTTGGGAGCCCATTCCACATGGAGGGATATTCTCTCAGCCTAGACACAGGGGGAAGAGCCTAGACACTGCTCCAAAGGATATGACAGACTTTGAAGATCCCCCACAGAAGGTCTGACCCTCCCTGGAGAACAGAAAGGGGATGGGATAGGGGGTTGGGGGGGGCAGGGGAGGAGGAGTGAGAGAAGGAACTGGAATTGACATGTAAAACAAGCTTGAATCTAATTTAAATAAAAAATAGAGAAAGAAGAAATAAAATGAAAAAAAAAAGAAAAACCCCACATGAAGGTGGGAAATGCACAGAGAGACTAGATAGTGTATGTCATTGTGTTGTCTTTGAATTATTTGATTTCTGAGGAAAGAGGAGAGTAACAGCTGCTAACAGACATTTGATTATACATTCTGCTGGATTAATCTAAGCTCTCTCTCTCTATATATATATATATATGATATAGAAATGAATATTTGTATCAGTATGAATTTTCATTTATTGATACAAATTTGAGGTCAATCTTGTTATATTTAGATTTCTCCTCTTATTTAGGTATTGTGTTAATGCAGCTCATTTAAAATGTAATGTATAATTAATTACAGATTATATTCACCTATAATATTCTAAACTTATAGTAATGTCAGATTTTCTAGATATATAGAAATGACTAGATATTCTTCAAACCTTTCAAAGACCTACAGAACATGGCATTTAAAATGGTTTAGAACTTCTCCTGACAGTGAGACAGAACTGCTCCTGAAAAAAACCAATTACTTCAAAGAGGAAGATGGGCATTGAAGAAACTCCTTATGGAGTTTGCCTTCACCATGGCAAGATTAGCCATTTGGGCAAGAAACTGCTCTTGGCTGGACTGTTTGACTGTATGTTGTATAAACTGAACATTCAGGACCCACAGGAAAGTGACTGCTGAATTTGCCAAAACAAAATGGGACAGTCCTGCAGGGTTCTTGCTTCGTGGAAGAGTCTGCCAGGTATTCTGCAGGACACAGAGAAAAATGACTGACAAACTGCTAATGCAGGCAGACAATATTTCCTGCTTCACTGAGAAGTCTGCCAGACACAATAGGCCTGTAGGCTGATGATGGATGCCCTAACATTACAGAAGAATGTTGGGAGACTGTCCAGGCAGTGAGATGTCTCTATCAATTCTAGAGCTTACATATTATCCTTCTGAGGTCTTTGATGGAGTTCAAGACAGATAGTTATGGTTGTAGTTTCCTTTAGTTATGATAAAAGATAAGTTACATACAAGACGTTAGAGTCACAAAGATAGGATAGATGATAGAATATTTTCTTTAAATTTTGCCAAATGTTAATTGACTCAATATTGTTAACTATAGAACTTAATTGGTAACTATTTTGTTATACATAATTTTACTTTGGTAAAGTTAAAACCTTTCTATTTAACAGAAAGGAGGAGATGATGGGGGATATCCTTCTGTATATATGTTTCTCTAATTGACTGGACAGGCAGAAAGATAGGCAGGGCAAGCAGACAGACAGAAGGCTGGGGAGAGAGGCCAGAGATGCCATGTTGCTGAAGAAGGAGTAACAGGTCCAGACCTTTCTCCAGTAAGGCTACAGGGAAATACTTAGATTAATAGAAAGGGGTTAATAATTAAGAAGGAGCTAGCCAATAAGAAGACCAAGCCATCGGCCATCAATTTTATAATATAACGTCTGTGTGTTTATTTGAGGCTGAAGGGCGGTGGGACCTGGCAGAAATTAACTCCAGCAATAGGATGGAGGAGCATGACGTGAAAGACACACAGAACAAACGAAGGAGGGAAATACAAGAACCTCTCTGGGAGTGGGACAGGATGAGAAGCATTTGCATCTGACCCCCACCTGCTGCAGCTTTCACTGGGAGACACCACACACTTACCAAAAAAGAGTGCACTAATTTCCAGAGCCTTGAGTCTGTGCCACTGTATAATGACTGAGAACAAATCTTCCACATCACGGGGAGGCATGTCAAACAGGAGGAGAATGAGGACAGGGGCTCCTGGCAGCATTCATTCACCCAGCACAACGTGACAGTCATAGGGGACTCAGGCTGAGGAGAGATGAGAGGTTCCAACAGCCATAAACACAGCCTTATCTCCAACACCTTTGTCTTCCCCCAGAGCCTGGGATGTCTGCTGTTCTTCTGCCTGGTCTGACCCTGTCCTCCCTCTGCCCATCCCTGCTCATCCCCAGCTTCTCCCACACTGTAGCCACAGTCTCCAGACACACAGCACCTTTCATGGATGCTGGATTGGACCCTGGGAATCTGTCTCAGCCATTTCCAGAGTTTTAAAAATTCTCCTTTGAAAACTGAGACAGATTCTGGACAGATGGCTCCATAGGTTATGTGTACTTGCGGCACAAACATGAGGAACTAAGTGTGAATCTCTAACTCCCATGTAAAAACTGCAGTCATCCATGTGCCAGGGCTGCAGAAAGCTGAGATGGGAGGACCACGGGGGTTTCCTGACTGCAGTCTAGCTCCAGATTTGGTAGAAGATGCTGGTTCAGGACATAAGGTAGAGAGTGACAGAGCCAGTTACCTGAACATTAAACAAGCATAACACACGTGTGCACACACACACAGGGCACGGGGCAATGTTTTTACCAAAAGAAATGCAATGTGGTGTTGATGGTGAGCTTCATGTGCCTTTAATAAATGCAAAACAGAAACCTTAGCCAGCACAGAAAGTGACAAAGTGACAAAGTTTCTATAGTCAGTCATGATGTTGCCTGCCTTTAATCCCATCACTCAGGAGACAGAGGCAGGCTGATCTGAGTTCAAGATGAGCCTAGTCTAAATAGTGAATTCCAGGACAACCAGGACAGTTACACAGAGAAATCCTGCCTAGAAAAAACAAACAAACAAAAATACCACAAAGGAATCAGCCAGGATAAACTATAACCAAACGCCAGTTGTGACCACAGAGCAGAGAGCATGCCACAGACTCCCTACTGTGTCCTGTCTTCCTGTGAATTCCTGCATTTCTCTTCACCTGTCACACTGTGGCAGGTCACGGTCCTGGTTTTTCCTAATGGTGTTGTGAGAGTCTGTCCCCTGTGGGTATTCTGACATTAGGTTGACAGTGAAGGGGGATAGCAAAGAAGGGACAGGGACCCACACTGACACATTGACAAGCCACCTGCTCTTGTAGTAAATGAAGTTTTATTTGAAACTCCTATTGTTTCTGGATGCTTTTAATCAAGGTGGCCCAGGGAGTGTTCCCTAGTCCTCAGTGACTTCAAAATGAAAAGCTTTCCTCTGAGGCCTCTGATTGAAAAGGCCTCCTGATCCTTATTGAGATCACACTAACAAGGTCCTGTCATAGGCCTGCAACTGTATGTAGGAAATCAGACACACACACACACACACACACACACACACACACACACACACACACAGAGAGACTCACACAATCACATAGTTATAATCACATGCTGACACATTCTCCACAAACCCACACACACAGTCACAATTATTCTCAAACAAGCTCACTCTCAGCCACGCATAATCACACACAACACACACATTCTCTCTCACACACACCATCATACACACACATCTTCTCACACCCACTCATTCTCACACACACATACTGACACACACTAACACACATACTCTCACACAGAGTAGAATATGTGTGATTTGAGAATGTGTGCATGTGTGTGATGCAAGTTGCAAGCATGTGACAGTCTGAAAAGGACAAAGGAGACTCAGGTGTCTGCTCCATCACTTTCTCCCTCATGTCTTTGAAGTAGGGACTCTGACTCCGCCCCCACAGCACTGAAGTTATGGGTAACAGAGACACATGGGGCTTTTCATGTGGCTGCCGGGATCTTAACTCGGGCTCACAGGTTTTTGTTTGATTTTAAGATTTATTTATTGCTTTGTATTTGTAACTTATTTGATGCAGGATCTCTGTGTGGACATGGCTTGCCTAGAACTTGCCTAGAAGGACAAGGCCACTGGGCAAATGTGGCCTTGAACTTAGAGATCTGCCTGCTTTTGCCCTGTGTGTGTGAGAAATGGGGGGGGGTAAAGGAAAAAGGAAATGAGGAGAAAAGAGAGAAGAACACTGCTGGGCCTTTTGTTGCAACCTGGAATCCCAAAGGACTCAAGAGGCTGTGGCAGGAGGAGCACAAGCCTCACTCCCTCCTGGACTACAAGCGAGTTCAAGTGCTACTCCATGGGGCGCTCTAGAGGATGTGTCCCTTAGCAACAGCTTTGCCTGGGACCTCAGGTTGATTCTTTTACAGGAGCCACCAGATTCTCCCTATCCCCTTTTTAACTCAATTGTCCAGATGCTGCATCTGCCCCTCTAGGCACACGTGGATCCAACAGCTACTTTAACCCAAGGCTGCCCAGAAGCAGGATGCTGGGAGACATGTGAGTCTATTTGAATTTACTGACTGCAAAAACTTTCTCATGGAAACGGTCTCATTTACATCTTCACTAACAGAATTCTTTTCTCAATTTTAATTTTTTAACTGAAATATTTGGTCCAAAAGCTTTCCATATTTTATTTAGTGTAGGTTTAAAGAGAAACACAAATCAACTTGAAGATATTTTTATGGTGCTATAGGTGAATTACTCCCTTGTTAGGTTTCCAACTCGGAACAAACTGAGGTTCAATAACATATCAAAGTTGTCCCAGATGAAGGGGGAAAAGGATGAAAAAGGAAGGACATGACTGCTCCTAGGTATGGAGGAGGAGAAGGTTTATTGTAGATAAAAGGGAGAGCACAGGCAGAGATGGAGACATCTGGGTGAGTTTGGAGTGAACATGACTGTGAGCCTGGCCATGTGAGGGGACTAGAGAGGGGAGGAGATGACAACCAAGTGGGGTGGCCTGGACCAAGAGACTGGCACAGACAAAACGGCTGAGTTATATAGGAAAGGACCAGAGATGGTGAAGCAGGGTGGGAAAGTTGAGGGAAGACTCAGGCCTTAGGTTGGAGTGATGCTGGGATAATCTGATGGCCAGAGGCAACTTTGGTATGTCAACTGGCATCTCAGGCATTTGTCCCAGGTGTAAGACTGAGCACTCCCACAGGCAGGTACCAGGCAGAGGACACATAGTATCTGCCACACCTACACAAGGGCTTTGTCCTCAAGTGACATCCCTGGGCCTTTGGGAGCAGTTTTGATACCTAGAAACGCTTTTCCTGCAGCATCACAGAGGAGTTTAGCCTCCGGGTTACATTGTGGTCTAAAGTCACAGCCTAAAGCAGTTTTCAGGGTGATTATATACCCCAATACACAGACCCTAGCAAAGCAAGACTACCCACAAGGTTAGGGTATAGGCTCTCTGGAGCCCCAAAACTCACCCTGCTATGAATTGGATGGTCGGGAGTAAATCCCAGGCTTACAACCATCCAGAGTTTCTGATTCTCATCCCTGTAGTAACCTGGTCCCACCCAGGTAAGACTGCGTGGGTATAGCCACCTGGGTTTAGGAGCCATAGTGAGGAGCCCAATGAGCTGGCAGATTCCTTAAAATGCAGTCCTGCTGGGACAGGGAGAGAACTAACCACAGGCAGCAGCAGGGGCCAGGACAATAAGGTGTGAGAAACCCAGTTCTTCTACAGCTGGGCCAGGAGCCCAAATCCCTAGAAACAGCTGCCTGGCTTCACCAGGTGCCCTGTGTCCTCAGGCTAGCCCTCTACAGGGTTCTCTGTGGACCCTGCCCAGACCCCAAGGGATTATTTTCATCACCACCTCTCCAACACATTTCCATCAGGAACCTTGCTGAACCCCCTGGATCTAGGACAGTGATCCTCAACATTCTGAATGTTGTGGCCCTTTAATAGGGTTACTAATATTGTGGTGTATCCTCAACCATAAAATTGTTTTTGTAGATACTTCCTAACTGTAATTTTGCTACTGTTGTGAGTTGTCCTGTGAATACTTTGGGAGATAGATGTTAGCAAGAGGGTTGAAACCCACAGATTTAGAGCTGAAGCTCTGGGGTTATCTGAGGAAGACATATCAGGGCTAAGTTTCACCTGGAAAACAAGCCCACTCCCCTCAGATGCTTATGATCAAGATCATGTAAAACATGACTGACTCTGGCAAGGGCAGCTGGGACTTCAGACTAACCTTGCCCTTGACCTGGAGTGTGACTGCCCAAGGGGCCATCTCCTCAGCCCATCTCCTCACTTTTCTGAGGCCACAGCAGGGCAGTCACAAAGCAGCCCTGTGAGGACAGCACCTGTGCCCTGAAGACCGGCTCTGTGTGTCCTTTTCCCTTTTGAGAACCTCAGATCAGATTCTTTTCATCCCACCCAGATCTTGGGGAACACCTGTGTCCTGTCAGCAACCCCCTCCCTCCTCCCCTCCCTCTCATCCTTCCTTCCTTTCTTTTTCTCTCAGAAGGGTTTCATGGAGCCCAGGTTGTCCTCAGACCCAGTTGTAGTTGAGGATGACCCTGAATTCCTGGTCCCCCTGCCTCAGCTCCTCTAGTAATGGGATTCAATCTCCATGCCCAGTTCTCTGTGGGGCTGGAGATCCAACCCAGAGCTTAGAACAGGCTAGCCCAGCATTTCACCACCTGAGACCCCTAGCTGCTTGGAAACATCTAGCCCCATGGAGGCACTTCCTGCTTGTCTTATGACAGCTTGACAGAGCCTACAGTCATCTGAAAGGAGGGAGCCAAAATGAAGAAAGTGACTCCATAAATTGGGCTGCAGACAAGACTATAGTACACTTTCTTAGTATTTGATGGCCAGCCCTGTGCTGGTGACCCGGCTTCTGTAAGAAAGCATGCTGAGCAAGTCATGAAGATATAGCCAGTAAGCAGTACCACACCACAGCCCCTGCTCTAAGTCCTGACTTACGTTCTGGCCCTGCTTGAGTTTCTTTCCTAATTTTCTTCAGTGACAAACTTCAGTGTGGAAGTGTAAGACAAGGAAACCTCCCCATCTTGTTTCTGGTCATGGTGTTTCATTTCAGCAACAGAGACCCTAAGACACTAGGTCCTGCATCTTTAGAGACTGCAGGCCCCATTTCACAGATGAAGAAACTGAGGCACGAATGGTGTGGCCTGAGTGAGGTGGGTGGCAGTGGGAACCTGTGACTCACCTATTTTTGGCTCTGACGCTTTGATGCCAATCTTAGCTGAGTCCCTAGAGTTGCTGGGGGCACAGGTGGAGGCTGAGAATGTATCCCTTCAGGAAGGATGCCCAGGGCTTGTATGTTTGAATGTTGAGTCCTCAGTTGGGGGAACTGTTTGGGAAGGGTTAGGAGGTGTGGCCTTGTTGGAGGAGGTGTGTCAATGGGACCAGAATGGGGTTTCAGATGTCCGCTGTATTCTCAGCCCTCTCTGCCTCATGCCTGTGGTTTATAAGAAGCAAGCTCTCAGCTTATGCTCTGGTTCTATTCCTACCTGTTGGGGACCAGGTCTCAGTAAATCTCTTTCTCATCCCAAGGCCCCTTCTCAGAACTCAGGAGCCTTCCCACAGAAGAGCCTGGTGCCATGGAGATAAGCCATCACTTACCAATGCTTTGTTAACCCTGCACTCCCTGGTGAAATCTCCTGCTCACCCCTTGTCAAACGTTTCCTGCTTCTGACAGCCCCCTGCCTCACTCCTCAGCATCTCCTGTCTAACACCCTCTTGCACTGCTCTGCCCCATCCCATGCCAAGTTCCCCTATATAAGCTTGTGCAAAATCCTCAATAATCGGAGTTTGATCAGCCAGTTTGTCTTGCTCCCATTCCTTGTGTCTCCTGTCCCTCATTTGTCTCCCCCCAAGATACCCAACGTTGACTTGTCCCTGCGTGTCGGGCAGTTACCCATCAGCCATTCGCCCCACCATGCTGGTCATGGACTAACCCCGAGGAACCGTAAGTCCTAAATTAAATGCTTTCTTTTACTAGTTGCTTTGGTTATGGTGTTTTATCACAGCATGAGAAAAGCAACTAAGATAAGAGACATAGAAATACTTGTTCCTGGTCCTGTTTCCAGAGAACCCAGGTGACAACATAACCAACCATTATGCCCTGCTCTTTATGGACAGCTGCCTCTGCGTCTTCAATTACTCCAGGCTCATCCTCTCTCTCATCTTATGCCTTTGCATCAGCTGCTTCAAGCACAGGGGTGGGACAGAGCCAGCAAGCAGCTTCATTGAAAGCTGGGTCTATTTCAGAAGGAAACTTTTTCATGCAGAAGGATTATTAGAATTAGAGTTCTCCCCTTAAATTGTTCAAGAGAAAACACCCATTGCTTAAACACTGATGAAAGAGTCTCCCTGTGGCCTGGCCCTGCAGCCTTCATCTGCCTGCCCGCAGGGCTCCTTTTCCCCAAGGCTCCCAATCACAAAGATCCCACTGCCCATGGTGAGCCCTCCTTTTCCTGCCCTCTGCCCCGAACATTCAGAGTCCTCTTTGCCCCTGGTTTGGATTTCAGCCAAGTACGGGCTGCCTAGCCTCAGCAGAACAGTTTGGAGTAGTGAGTACAGTCTCTTGGCCCAGCATCAGTGTGGCTTCTCCATTCACATTTCCTCATGGTCAGAATTGGGATCCAGCCAAGATCTACCCACAGACACTGCTCCCAGGATAAGATCTCCTGCTCCAGGATAAGATGGTCTACAAGCAAATCCAGAATCCGCACTTTCTCCATCATCACTGGGCACACCCTGCCCTTGAGAATGATGACCTCTGCATCACCAGACAGGAGCTTTCACTTCCTGCTTGCTCTGGTGAAAGGAGATGAAGGATGACAGAGCTGGATGCATTCTGTGTGGCTGGAGGAACATCCTGGGTTAAGTGTACTTACCCCGGCCATTCCTGCTTCCCTAGGCTGTAACAGACAGAGAGTGTGCCTCTAGAACACTCTTGGTATTTTCCAATTTCCAGTGAGTAAGAAAATCAGGGCTTCAGGGTCCAGCCTAAGAGAGGGGCTCCTGCCTCCCCCCATCATTAACTCTCCCATATCCTCTCATTCACCTTCTGTTAAAGCCCTGGTTTCCTCTATAGCTGTACAACCCTGAACATACGCTACTCATCTCCAATATTAACCAAGCTTGTACTGTCTAGTGTTTGGATGGGGAGCATCCCAGTGATGTCTGGGTTTTTATCACATGGACAGCATCCAGGCCGTGTACATTTGCAATGGATTGGCTGTCTGAAGGCAGTGGCCCTATCAACCAAGTACTGAAGAGTGTATAGGTCTGCTCTCCATCCCAAAGCCAAGGTCCAGTGCTTAATTCAGGCATCTGCTCCAACACCCTGATCTTATTGACTTCTTGATCTTCCCGCTTATTACATGTAACAAAAACATGTTGTCTGCATAGGGAGACTGGTTTACTGAATTACAGACTGCCACCAACATTGAGAGCTTGTGTCTAGGGAGGACAGCTACTCCTATATCCATGATGGAAGTGTATTCCTTCTATATTGTTAGTGGTCCTTAAGCTCCTTATGCTGTAGCACTCATGTAGTGGTGTCTCCCCAAACACAAAATTGTTTTTGTTGCTACTTCAAAACCATAATTTTTCTGCCATTATGAATCAGAATGTCAATGTCTGATATGTAGAATATCTGATATGTGAGCCCAGTGGAAGGGTTGATCAACATCCCTGTATGGCTCTCATCCCAAGGTTGGGAACAACTGTTCTATATATACTAAGGAAGAAGCTTCTAGAAGAATGTACATGGACTCTTACGAGATGAAGGGAATATGCTGTTAGCCAGTCACATTAGTCAAGTCAACCCTGGCGGTCAGTAGAGTGACAGATGTCTAGAGGAGGTCACAAATATTCCTGTAATGTTTGGGGGGTAACATTCCACTTTCTGCTCAAGAACCCAATAAGGACAGACCAGGCCAACACAGAATTTAAGTAAAAGCAGTAAGTTTAATTAGTTAAAAACAAGTTTGGGGCAGGCATTAGGGTCAGCATCACTTCTGGGAACCAAGTCCTGAGCACGTGGGAGAAGTGACCAGATGCTCCCTGTGCACATCCCATTGTGCCTTCAAGCAGTGAGCACAGAGTCCTCTGCCCAGCTCCAGGTCAACTTCCAGCCAGCATTGGTAGCTCAGAGATCCACAGGGCATGGAGTCCCCATCCATACCTGCTCCACAGGTGCCTCCAGATCAGAGTCACCTGAGGGGCATGCTGCACTGGGAGGCCAGGAGAGGGGTTCAAAGTGATGAGAGGTCTTTAGAAGGACAATCTGTAAGGTCAGCATCACAGGCAAAAGGAGACAAGAAAGTCACAGCTGTACCCGGGAAGTGAGAAGGCTCAGGACACAGACAGCCAGGCTCACAGAAGCAGATCATGTGAAGTTCAGGGCTGAGTCGAGCAGGCGGGACTGTTAACTGGAAACATGTGGAACAAGCAGAGAATCAGATGCATAAAATCTTTACTGAGGGTGCGTGGGGCAGAGGCCTTACGATCTCCCAACACCTAGAGGACCAACTACAGAAGGCTTGATGAGTCCCTGCAGAGCTGGGTGCTGGACCCCGAGGCTGTGCTCCAGGCAGTCCAGCTCCAGCCCTGCCCCTGGACCACTCTCTCCTCAGACAGCTAGAGCTGCTTCCAAGCTGGGGGAGATGCCCAGTGTAGGTTCTCTTGGGCAAATACCACACAGCACTCCAATGTGATTGAACTGGAGAGACAAGATCACTAAGTTCTAACACCATCACTGCTATCCTAGGGCTCTGTGGTCTCAGGACACACAGTCTGATGCCCAGAGTCTGTTTCCTTAGCTGTGACATGGAGCACTGGACACATGGAATTGCTTCCAGGACTGAGGGTGACTCTGTGGGGTCAGCTCACAGCACTTATATCAAAGGAGAAGGGTGACAGGTGACCACACAAGGAAAGCCCAGGGAGAGCCACCAGCACTGCCTCCCAATAAAGAGGGAAAGCCTTCTGGTGGCCATCTCACCATTGCTGAAGTCCAGCTTCAGGACCAATTGTTCTCTGCCTCCAATCTGCAGGAGAGGGAAAAGAGGATCCTGGGTGACACACATCTACCCAACTCTAAGATAATGACCATTCAGACTTGTGGCAGCACAGAGGGGAAGGGGTCAGAAGGGGATCTGAGGGGTGAATTCTATACCCAGAGAGGAGCATTACTTCCATTGCTGCCCCACTGGGCACAGATACCCTCAGGTGTTCACAAATACATTCTCTCTCTCCATCCTGTCCCTACTCTGATGTATTAGTAACCCCCTCATGTAGAGAAGTCAATAACAAAAATATCTTCAAGAGCTCCCTGAAACTGACCAGATTCACTAGGCCCCTCTCTGCCAGAGGAAGTAGAGCCAAGCAGCAAAGACTCTCACACAAGAAAAGCCACCCAGCCAAGCAGAAACCAGCCACTCTGCCTGAGAGGGGTTTAGCCCAACTGAGGCACCTGGAAAGGACACTCTCCAACCTGCTGAGCTGCCAGCAGGCTGTGCAGTGTGCTCCAGGGTCCCAGCTTTGTGAGCCTTCTGTCATCAGTGCTGGGTGTCCTTTGGTGATGCAGCTGTCTTTGAGTCATTTCTGCTCCTGTAAGTGATCCCTCACCCTCACCATATTCCTATAAGTAGCCCCAATAAAACTCATTGCTTCACATAGATGAACTTGCTGGTATCCGTACTTTGGTTTGTTGTGGGTTTCCTACCTGTGGTGAGGAGATGGGTATGTTGCACCTCCCCAGGAAAGATTTTGTCACATAACACTCCCCAAATCCTCCACTAAAAAATGACCCTGTTAAAGCCCTTGAAGGAAGAGCGAATGAAAGAGGTGAGAATCTCCCTCCCTGGGGAGAACTGTTCCTGCACCTAGTCAGCTGCAGCTCTCAGGGGAGTGTCCCCTCTGCCACACCTGGACAACACAGTAGCGCTGGCCCTAGGTGCAGCCTTGGGAGATCTGACCCTGAGGACATGAAACCAGGAAAACTGGCCCTGCCCCTTGCTCAACTGTGCAAGGGGTGACCTAGCCAGGGCAATGCTGGAGAGCTCACCCTATGGGTGAGGACAAGGGAGAGCCGGCAGGCTAAGCAACCCTGACACTACCCAGGCCCAGAACCAGGCTTACGATTTAGTTCACCTCAACGTTCACCCCATCTGTGATCTGCCAGAGCACATGAAAGGAGCGAACCTGCAGACCCAAAGTTACCGATTTCCATGACTCAGGGCTACAGCAGGATAACCAGGAGGGGTTCCAGTGAGAGCCCAGCATCAGACCAATAACTCTCCACAAGGAATACTTTCAATTGAGGATGTATGGATAAAAGGGATTACTGCATGCTTCGCTGTGACACTCTACAGCTTCCATGATGAGAATGACTTTTCCTAATTCCTTCCCCCCTTTTTTTCCTCTTGAATTCTATCTTTTGGTATGTGGGGGGGGGGACATTACAAGAGCAGAGTGTGGATACAAAGGGACTTGGAAGTGAAGAGGTTGGAGGAGCACGATGTGAAAACCACAAAGAATAAACGAAGGGTGGAAATACAAGAACCTTCCTGGGGGTGGGAGAGGATGAGAAGCATTTGCATCTGACACCCAAGTGCTGCAGCTTTCACTGGGAGACACCACATACTTACCTTGGTATGGTCCACTAATTTCCAGAACCTGGAGCCTGTGCACCAGTATAGTATCAGAGAATGTTGCTGCCACGTCTTGGGGAGACAGAGCAAACGCAGCGGGGCAGGAGAGGTGGCCTTCTGGGGCAATCTGCTCACCTTCAACAAGCTGATGGTGATAGAGGCTCCAAGCTGAAGGGCGTAGAGGGGAGAGGCACATTAGGGACAGATAACCATTTGTCTTGCCTATGTGCCTAGCTTTTTTTTGATGCAAAGCTCAAGATCAGAGATTTATGTTCCAACAGCCCTAACCACAGTCTCTTCTACAACACCTCGGTCTTCCCTGGGAACTGTGATGTCCGATTCTGTCTTGAAGCTCTGGCTCAGGTGGAAGGATCACAAGCCCTGCTGCCACCTGAACTACAAAGTGAGTTCAAACGCGGAACACTCCAGTGAACGTGCGCCCTAGGAACAGCTTTGCTTGGGGCCTCAGGCTCATTCCTTCACCGGAGCCATCATTTTCTCCCCACCCCCAGTTGTCCAAGAAGCTATTCCGGCTGCTGCACCTGCCCCTCCAGGCACATGTGGAAACAATTGCTACTTTAAGCCAAGGCTGCCCAGAAGCAGGATGCTGGAAGGCAGGTGACCCTAATGAATTTAACTGACTACACAAACTTTCTCAGGGAAGCTGCCCCCATTTATGTCCTCACTAACGTGAATTCTTTTCTGGGTCTTTTTTTTTTCATGTAACTGGAAATATTTGGTCCAAAATGTTTCCATACTTTATTTAGTAAAGGTTTACCAAGTACTTGATTTTTTTCTGGTGCCATAGGTGAATTACCCTCCTGTCAAGTTTCAAATCTGACACAAACTAATGTCCATGAAGAGTTCATATTTGGCCCCAGATGAAGAGGGGGAAAGGATGAAAAAGGAAGGACATGACTGCTCCTAGGTATGGAGGAGGAGAAGGTTTATTGTAGATAAAAGGGAGAGCACAGGCAGAGATGGAGACATCTGAGAGAGTTCTGAGAGAACACAACTGTGAGCCTGGCCATGTGAGGAGAGGAGAGGGGAGAAGGAGGGGGAGGGGAGGGACAGGAGAGGGAAGAGGAGTTGCCCATCAAGTGGGGTGACCTGGTCCAAGAGACTGGCAAAGTCAAAATGGCTGAGTTTTATAGGGGCCAGAAGAGGAAGGTGGGGGGGTCCAGGCCATGGGATAAAGAGTTCAGGGGAGAGGCCAGGGTAAGCCTGCCATACCCCGCAACAGGTATAGAGTGAGGGATGCTGGGAGAACCTGGTGGCCAGAGAACACTTTGATATGGTAATTGTCACCTCAGCTATTTGTCTAAGGTATAAAACCTAACACCCATCACCCAAGTACCAGACAGGGAGCCATAGTCTCTGCCATACCTACACATTCCTGGTACTTGGGGAGCAGTTTTGATATCTAGAAACTCTTCCTGCAGCATCACAGAGTACTTTAGCCTCCTGGGTTCCACTGTGGTCTAAAGCCACAGCCTAGAGCAGTTTCCAGAGTGATTATCTTCTCACCAGCAGATGGAGTAACCCAGCAGGACCTCTAATCAGTTTCCAGTGTGAGCAGCCCTTAGCTGTTGAATGCTTCCCCAGGTCATTCAATGTTGGGAGTAACAGCGGCAGATGTGTCATTATTTGCAGAAAATCAGAAACTGGTGGTTTACATTCATATCTGCTCTTTCCAAGTTGTGTGGCTTATACTGGACCTGCCTTTTTTCTGACCTGGAGAACTCCTATTCCTCCCACAGAGCCCAGCCTCAACTATCCCATCTGTAGGCTTTCTCAGCATGCTCCCTCTGACTAGTCCCTCTACCAGTGAGTCAGGCCTCACCACAACGGCCCTCTGCATCTGTGAATAAGCCTGAGCCTGTGGGGCCTCCAAGCAGTGGCTCCTAGGGATGATGCAGGGGTGAAGACATGGTTCTGTTGAGAGACCAGTATCAGCTATGTTCTGACATGATGATAACATCACCCCAACACAAACACTCTAACCTACAAGTCTACCCACAATGCCAGGGTACAGCCTCCCCGGAAACACAATACTCACCATGCTGTCAGTTGGATGGTAGGGATGAAATCCCCGCCTTTCAACCTTCCAGAGTTTCTGCTTCTCATCCCTGTAGTACCCAGGCCTTACAGAGGTCAGACTGAGTGGGGGTAGCTCCAGGGGAAGAGCAGCCATAGTGAGTGGCCCCAAGAGCTGGCAGATTCCTTAAAATACAGCCCTACAAGGGCAGGCTGGGGATAGGGCAGGGGCTGGGGCAGGGGCAGGGGCAGGGGCTGGGGCAGGGGCTGGATGAGTAAACAGGAGAAGCTAAGACCTTATACAGCTGGGCCGGGAGCTCAAGTCCCTGCAAACAGCTGCCCAGCTTCACCAGGTGCCCTGTGTCCTCAGGCTAGCCCTCTACAGGGCTCTCTGTGGACCCTGCCCAGACCCCCAGGGATTATTTCATCACCACCTCTACAACACGTTTCCACCAGGAAACTAGCTGAATCCCCTGGATCTAGGACACTGGCTCTCAGCCTACCTAATGCTGGGAACTTTTAATACAGTTCCTCACGTTGTGGTGAACGCCAACCATAAAACTATTTTTGTAGCTACTTCATAACTGTAATTTTGCTACTGTTGTGAATTGTCATGCAAATGATTTGGGGGATGCATGTTGGCAGGGTGATGGAGAACCATGTCTTTAGAGCTGAGGCTTTGGGGTATCTGAGGAAGACACACCTGGGCTAAATTTCTTCTGGAACACAAGCCCAACCTCCTCAGATGTTTGTGATCAAGGTCATGTAAAACGTGACTGACTCTGCCAAGGGCAGCTTGGTTTCAGGCTAACCCTGCCCTTGACCTGGAGTGTGACCACACAAGGGGCCATCTCCTCAGCCCATCTCCTCACTTTTCTGAGGCCACAGCAGGGCAGTCACAAAGCAGCCCTGTGAGGACAGCACCTGTGTCCTGAAGACCGACTCTGTGTGTCCTCCTTTTTGAGAGCCTAAAGCCAGATTTTTTCATTCCACCCAGATCATGGGGAGCATCTGTGCCTGTCAGCATTTCCCTCCCTCCTCCCCTCCCTCTCATCCTTCCTTCCTTTCTTTTTCTCTATGAAGCCCAGGTTGTCCTCAGACCCAGTTGTAGTTGAGGATGTCCCTGAATTCCTGGTCCTCCTGCCTCAGCAACTCTAGTGCTGGGATTACATCACCATGCCCAGTTCTCTATGGGGCTGGAGATCCAATCCAGAGCTTAGCACAGGCTAGCCCGGCATTCTGCCACCTGAGACTCCTAGCTGCATGGAAACTTCTAGCCCCACGTCAGGGATTTCCTGCTTGTTTTATGTCAACTTGACAGGGTTCTAGAGTTGTCTGAAAGGAGGGAGCCAATTAAGAAAACGACTCCCTAAGATTGGGCTGTAGGCAACACTGTAGAGCATTTTCTTAATTAGTGATTCATGGGGAGGGGGAGCTCAGCCCACTGTAAGTGGGGCCAGCCTGTGCTGGTGACCTGGGTTCCGTAAGAAAGCACACTGAGCATGTCAGGAAGTTGTAGCCAGTAGGCACCACCCTCCACAGCCTCTGCTTCAGCTCCTGCCTCCAGGCTCTGGCCCTGCTTGTGTTCCTTTCCTGATTTTCTTTAGAGATGGACTACATTGTGGAAGTGTTAGACAAGGAAACCTCCCCATCTTGCTTCTGGTCAAGGTGTTTTGTCGCAGCAATAGTGACCCTAAGACGCTAGGCACTTCTTCTTTAGACTAGACACTGCAGACCCCGTTTCACAGATGAAGAAACTGAGGCACGAATGGTGTGACCTGAGTGAGGCGGGTAGCTGAGACAGCCTGTCACTCACCTATTCTTGGCTCTGACGCTTTGCTGACAATCTTAGCTGAGCCCCTAGAGGTGCTGAGGGCACAGTCAGAGGCTCAGAATGTGTCCCTGGGAGGAAAGATGTGCACAGAAGTCAGTCATTTTGTCCTCTATCCAGTCATTGTCCACACGGTGGCTGACAGGTGGCAATGTATCCTCGACAACTTGTCCCTCTCTGCTACCTGGCAGAGAGCCATACCCAAATCCAGCTCTGCTCTGTCTCAGCAGTGCGAGCATCTGCAAGGCACTCACCTGTCAGCCCTCTATAGTTCTTTCGTGTGGGTATAGACGCGGGAGCGTGCCCTTGTGTCTGCTGGTGCACATGCATTTTTGCCCATATGGTCAGTCTTGAGTCTTCCTCAGGTGCCAGTCACCATAGGTTTTGAAATAAGGTTTCTCATTGGTCTGGGACTCACCGAGTAGGCTTGAATGGCTAGCCAGATAGCTAAGGCGATCTGGCAGTCTTTGCCTTCCCAAATCTGGGGTCACAAGCATGTGCTCCCCACTCTGCTTTTCATGTGGGTGCTTGGGGTCGAACCAGGTCCCCTTTAATAACGGAACCAGCTCCCCAGCGTCCTATGATGATCATTATTCCTGCCACGTGTAGTTTGGGGAAGTCGATGTCAAGGCTGAGTACTTAGCTCATAGTGTGGCACAGGAGGGTAGTATTGATGGGGAGTGTGCTAGCTAGGGCCACACACTGCAGAAAAGGCTAGACCACCGTCCCTCTGAATTGCCCCTGTAACCGTGTCTTACATTTCTGCTGGCTTACCATGCCCCAACGCTCTACTGAAGCTACTCCCCCGCAGGTCCCCAGTGGCAGCCTTCCTGACGGTGTGACCACTGTCTCCTCAGGTGCCACACTGACATCTCTGCAGCGTTCCACGCTGCCAGCTTTCCCGCTTTCCCGCCATCTTGCACTTCCGGTAAGTTTCCATGCCTCTAATTGCTTTCGTTTTGGTATTTCGAGATGAGAGTCTCACCATGTGCCCCAGGCTGGCTTGAATTCCAGGTCTTCCTGCCTCAGTTGCCTGTGTTCTGGGGCCGCACTTCTGATAACAGAGTTCATCCTTCCCACCCATTTGTCAATCCCATCGGTAGCTGAGTGTTTATTCCAGGATTTGGTGACCTGGTGACCACAGACTTTTCTCTGGGGAGAGCCAAAGCTGCAGTCACTCAATAGCTCTCCATTTTTATTCACCAAGCTAACTATTGTGTGAGAAGCTCAGTAGGGTTCTTGTGATGTCCCTATTCTCATGCGACACGAACCTACCACAGGAGATGAACAGGGGCAGGGACAAAGAGAAGCAAATGATTATCAGCCCCCAAGTGTACACAGACCTGTGACAGCCCTGTCTCCCATGACCTCCTGTGCCTATCAGCTATATTTCTTCTTCCCAGCAGTTAAGAATGACCCTTCATGAAAGCTCAGCTGTGATCTAACTCTGAGTCCAGCTCCATCATGATGCAGACACTGGGATGAACTAGGGTCTCAAGTAGCTCTGAGAACTCAGTGAGTTCAACCCAGTAATCATGATGACTAGCATAGTGTCAGATAATGTGGTCCAAGCCTTACCCACATCACAGCATCTCATCACAGATGATCCAACCTAATAGTATCAATACAGGAGCACCT